TAGCAGCTCCATCAGCACTTGGTGGCACTTCCTGTGCTGCAGTGAGCACATGTGCCTTCACACTGTGGATTTCTGAGTTATTGAGCTCACTGTGGTTGTGGGCAAGGCTGGTATGTTGTGGCAGAGGAGGAATGATCCTGATGTCCTTGTGGGAGGTTTGTGCAGAGTATGGCAGTGCAGCCTCCAGGATTAGAATGATTGCCAAGGATGTGCTGCGCTGCTGAAGCAGGGCCCAGCAACTCTGGGAGGCAATCAGGGAAGGAGAGTTCCTACTTGAAATCGTATTCACTGTTGTACTTTACACACCAGTTCACCATGGGATATTGTTACAAGAATGAGAGTGAATGGGAATGGAAATTTCTGAAAGTTGCTTGCTTCTGAAGAACGTTGCTGGAAGCTAGGTAATCATTACCTGTTTTGCAGTAAACAAGTTTTAATGGTGTCAATTAAACCATTGTTTTAAAGAAAAGTGAATGAGAGGTGTTGATTTCACATTAAGAGACAAGAGCCTCTAAGAGTAAAGGTCTAAGAGTAGAGGTCTTAAGTAAACAGCCAGCATTTGATTTGCTGGTGCCTTGTTCTAAGCAGCAAATATAAGTTGGATTATAAAGGGAACATAATAATTGTATATGTTTTTGGCCATGCACAAAAATGCTGAAGTAAAGCAGCAGTGAAGGCCTTGGCAGCAAGTAGTGAGATGGCTTCTCATTTTGAACAAGGCTGGTGAACCTGTTTTATAGAGTCGTGAAAGAACTCGCCTTCTTTGAGTATTCTTTCAAATGGGAAATTTGCCAGTCGTGTTGGTGGTGCTTTTCTCATACATTTACGTTTTACTTGTGATCTGGTCCTCTGGAGGCTGGCTGATAGCAGTCAGTCCTGTGTAACCATGTGGGCAGCAACAGAAACTGCAAAGTTAGATGGAGTGAGGAAGGTGTTTGTGTGTGTGTGTGTGTGTGTGTGTGTGTGTACTTTTTTGGTGTTGAAACAGAAAACTCAAGCTATGTGTTACAGGGTTGGGCAAGGGCTCTGACTACAAGTGGGGCTTGGGGCAATAAAAGCTATGTGGGCTGAACAGAAAACTGTATTTTGTAATTCAAGAGAAAAGTACAGAGTTTTCTGCTTTGAAAGTGGACAAGCTGATGTGCCAGTGCTAGCTTGAAATATGTCTGTGTGTTCCTGCCAATTCCAGAAGAATGACTATATTTAAAAGGTGGTGTTCTTCTTTGGCATCCATGCCACAGCCTTGCTTTTTTTTTTCCATCACTGTCTTTAGCTAAAACAAGAACTACTGTTGAGCATGGCTCCTTGCTGAGCAGGGCCCTATGCAGAAGAGGTGGGGAGTTTCCCATGAGGACACAGCTTCTGACTTCCCAGTGGGAGCTTATTACAGCAATACAATAATAGCTTGTAAATATGAACTTTTGGGGGGCTTTAGTCACGTGGATGGAGGTGAGCTCCTTTTGTCTGTAGTTTTAAAAGCCAAGGAAGATCATGGCTGTGACCTCTTCAATCAAACCAAATGACTCGTAGGCTTGAGGCAAAGAGCATGAGAGGAATCTGCCAGTAATATTGCAGAACAACTTGTACCTGCTGGAGGGAGTTCTAATTGAAGGCTAATTATTGAGTAACCATGCTAACTTAAAAATACTTGGGTATCCTTTTTCACATTGGCAAAACCACAGACCTGTTGATGTTTCTCTAATGACTGATGAATCTTTCTTTACCCTAGCATTTAGGTTTTTTTCTTTGCCAGGCTCTCAATAAGTTCTTTAAAACAAGACTAGTAGATGGGTGAAGCTAAATTATTTGGACTAACTCTTTTGCTTAAGTCGAAAAACCATTTTGCCTTCCAGAACAGTGTTTTTTAAACTGCCCTTGCTGATTAGCATTCAACAAATATAGCTGAAAGTGTTGATACCTGTTTTGTCTGAGCTTTCCATTTACCCATGCGGTTCTGGGGTGTGCACGAGTGGTGACTAGAATGGACCAGCCCGTTTCTGTCTTGTCTCTTCAGTGCCTATAAATCCAGGTATTGGAGGTACCAAGCAACTAGAAGTCCAGCTGAACTGTAAACATAGTATCTAGTTTTCTTATCACAAAGAACACTTTCTTGCTGTGTAGCCAGTTGTGCTCTAGAGGCTTCATTAAGAAAATACCGATAGCACAAGTTTTCATTAAGTGCCATTTTCCTTGGGGATTTAGAAACTCAGCTCCTAATGCTCAGCTCAGTCTTTGCTGGCTTCGATCTCTGACCTGGCTATCTGTGCCAACAGAAACATCCAAGTGCTGATGTAGTTATGGTGAGAAAACTGTACTTCCAAATGCCTCTGGGGTCTCCTTTTACTGGAGTTTCGAAAGCAGACTTGGTGTTGTTCTGCCTGAGCTGGGAATGGGCCACCCATCTGTTTTCCTGTGTTTGCTGGGAATTCTTTGAGCGGGCAGGCCCTCTCCTGTGGTGGGAAAGCCATGGAGCTGAGGCCTGAGCTGGGACTGGGCTTCAGTGGCCTTACTGCAATGGGAGGCAGTGGGTCCTGGCTCTCTCCTGAGTGATCTGTCATGAAAATCAGCCCTATTTTGGCACACTTCTTCCCTGTGTCCTCAGCACTGTTCTGTCACACTTGGGTCAGGTTATTCCTGGAATCCTGTGTTTTATTTCACTTCTTAAAGTCCTACCTCAAACTACTGTGCATTTTCAGAGTATTCAGTGGAGGATATTGTGGGGGCTTAGGTGTAGGCTTCTTCTGTGCCCTTTGTTGGAAGCTTTGGTTGAGTCTCATTTAAAGATCTTCAGAAGGCTTTTCTGTGCTCAGTGGGTACCATGGTTCAGGTTAATGGCTAAACAATACGTTCTTTAACCTGGTGTACTCAAATGCACCAATACATTTGATACAAAGCAGGTGATTGGTGACTGGAGTGTTGAGGAAATGTTGTGTATGGTTGGTTTAGCAAATTTGCACTGGGGTGACATTAATTGGTGCAAAGTACCATTCCACTTTGGGATGTGTAGAGCTGCTTGGAACTGAAAGCTTGTATGTTCTGTCTCTTAGTGAAAGCTTTAGATAAGGTGGTGAATCAGCAAACGACACAACTGGAGGAATTATTTGTCTGTGGAAAACAGCAACAACCACTTCAGGAGGAAATGCAGCAAGTACCTCAGTCAGAAGGAAATCCCTCCTCTGACAACTTGGATTTCCCTCCACACCTAATAGCCGAAGGACCTCTGACACATAACTCATATTTCTCTATGGTGGCTGTGGGGCAAAATACCTCTCTGTGTGGTAAAGGGAAGGATGTAGGAAGAGCTTGCTGCTATTTCAGGGCACTGTGAGGGAAATAGCATGTTTTATTTCCTTTTGAGACTTGTGTTTAAATTTGGTGTCCGTCTCCACCCTGCCATGAGATCAGGGAGGGAAGGAAGGCTTTTTCAGTTACCTTTATGAGTAATTGTGGTGTCTCTCATCTGAAGGTATTTGATGCAGTTGGTGTTGAAGATGTGTAGCCTGCTGTTAGGTTGGAGAAGTGTGTTGTTCTACTCAGTTCCCTTTTTGTCACAGGGAATTCGGCTATTTCCCAAGCGACCGCCGTTTCTTCACAATGAAACCTCTTCCTTTGTTCATGAAAGACTTCACCTTCCTCAAGTTTGTATTCTTCATGCAATAGTCCTTTCCTCTGTTTCAGCTCCAGCTTCCTTCTCTATGTATCGTGGCATAATAAGGTTTGGTCATTTTGTTCTGTCACTGATGTCTGGTCAGAGACGTTTCCCACCAGAGGCGTTTCCCAAGTTATACCAGGTATAAACTTGGTAATTCCCACTTGGTTTAAAAAAAAATACATAAAATCATTGAAGTGTAAAATGATAACTGTCTTCACCAAGCTTAGTGTTCAACGAATTGAATGTGAAGCTTACATTTGAAGGGCTTTATGTTGGTGCAAAACAGAACTAACCCACTACTTGTAAATGTATGAAACAAAAACAAAGTTACAGCAGTAAGTTGTTTACAGAGATTCTTTGTTTGCTTGTTGTAGAGTCTCCCCTTTCAAACTGTTAGGACATGGTGCTGGTGGTCTGTAAAGTGGTCTGCCACTGGTCTACAGGGAGGTGTCCCTGCATATAGCAGGAGGGTTGAAACTATTTGATCTTAAAAGTCTGTGATTTGATTTTCTTGGTCCAGAGTGAGAGAATCACAGCTTGTTCATTGGATGGCTTCTAAGCTTGCTTCATTGAGTATGTTGTGTGTTGCTTTGGAGGAGTCTTTGCTCTCACAGCAAGAGCACTTCACCAGAGGGTGCTGTTCTCTCCTGCTTTTAGCAGCCACTTTAAAGCACTTCCTTCAAGCTCAAACTTGAGGTTATTTTGCTGAAACAAAACAATACTTTCCAGAGGACACAACAAGGCCTGCATCAGTGTTTTATGTTTGTTACAAATTCCCTGGGTTGTCTCTGTGGTGGGGGCTTGCTGTACCAGCAGTAGCAAAGGAGAAGAACATGCAGAGAATGAACTGCCACCTTCTTGGAAAAGTTGTGTATGCTTTACAGCACTGTAATAATTCCAAAACATTTACTCAGTATGTTTAATGGTGTACCAGATTAAAAATTTACCCTGACTAAACTGAGGGAGTGCCATTCTCAATGCATTTGTGATGTGCTACAAGTTTGCTATTGCATTTTTTTTTCTTTTGTTTCATAGTGATTAAACCTATAGCATCAGGTATTAATCTCTCAGCTGAGTGCTTATTTGTATGCCATCAGCTCTGCAGTTTTGACCACAAACATCATGAGACAGTTCCTTGCAAATTACCTGTTTGGTAATAACCTGGGTGGAAACTGCTGTGTCTTAGCAGTATTTACCACAGTGAGGAAATGTGTGTCAGTTCTAAGCAAACAGTTGTGAAACAGTAATGCTGGAGTAGGTGTTTTTAAAGTCCTGGGATTAGCGTGGTGGATCTCCTAAACATGACTGAGCATTCCTTTGTCTCTAATCCTGATTTCTCAATTTTTAGGCACAGCTGGAAGCCCAGAGAGCAACTCAAGATTTTCAGAGGGCAACTGAAGTGCTGCGTGCTGCAAAGGAGACTATTTCACTTGCTGAGCAGAGGCTGCTGGAGGATGACAAACGTCAGTTTGACTCTGCCTGGCAAGAGATGCTCAACCATGCTACGCAGAGGGTAATAAAAACACAAATCAGTTTACCCCATCACCTGTCTTTTCCATGTTCAGTTTTCTTCTTTGAGATATGATGCAAGTTTATGAAGTACTGCATTTTTTGTATTGGTCCAGACATATGACCTGTAGGAAATGAATCTGCAGAAAATTATGAAGTCTGAGGTTAGATGATTTGGGCCATGGGATGAACTACAGCTCTTTATCTAACTTTGCTAGTAGCTAGAGGAGTGTCTCTAGCTTTAAATAAATAAATAAATAAAATCACCATTTGTGTAATAGTGGTAAACAGCATCCTTGGGAATATCTGCATTTGAAGCTATAAAAAAATAATTGCATTGGGAAGGCTTAATTGCATAGGGATGGCTATTTCTGAGTGTATGTGTTGTGGAAACTCTGACCACGGAGTACCAGGGACGTGTTCCAATTTCGTGTAACCTGTTTTCAACATGACATTAGGTTCAGCAAGGCATTTTTGTCTGGAGTGTATCTGCATGGAGAATTACTAAACATGTGTTGCATTTCAAGCTTGCACACTTCTGTTGTAAATTCACTTTCAAATTTAGACAGGATCTTACCTTCTTGGTAAGGTCGTCTTAAATCTACTGAAAAGATACACTAATAGTGAAAGGCAGTATTTGTTTTAGCAGCTGTCAAGAATTTTCCTGTCATTTGCCTTATCTCTCTTTTTCTTTATCTGTTAAAAATGCAGAAAGGTGGCTTTTTTTTTTTTTTTTAACATGAAAGAACCAAAAATCTAAGTTAAAAACCTTTGTTCTGTCAAAGTTCTCCTTGATATGTCAGTGAAGCTGAACTTGCTATTCCAACTGTGGGGAGCATGCCGTACAACGCTGGCATTGTCTTGCAGTTCTCAATGCAGTAGCTTTGTTCTGTTGCAGAAGCATTTTGGTTACAAGAAAATCTCTATTTCAAACTGAATTCTGTAACCAGCTGCCAGACGATGAAACAGAGAACAAAAAGGACGTTGGCTATAGCAGGGAGAGATGGAGAAAAAACTCAATATATACTAAAACATGAATAACCAAAAAAACACACAGAAATCCTCCAGGGTAAAGTTGCTGTTACTGTCTCTGTCATTTAAGTATTTGCAGATCTGGTAACCTCTGCTTTTCTGGATTGAAACCTGACTTTGCAGTGTGTGTGCCAAGATACCATCAGCTGTCATTTTTTCCTTGGCTGTTATTCCTGTTTGATGTGAGAGAGATCTGGAAATGCATACACTATTCTTTTTTAATTCTTACAGTAGATAGATGAGAAAGAAATAGAAGCTTCTAAGGACTTTTTTAGAGCTTCTCTAAGAAGTAGCTGAGATGTGATGGAGATTGAGAGCAACTGTGGATCAGTTGCCTCCCTCTAGCAGGCGTGAGGGAAGAAATGCTAGGAATTTTCAGGGTTCAAATGGATTCCTCCTTTCCTTGGATATTCTTAAGGAATTCCTGTGTCTTTCTGCAGCCCTTAATTGTACTCCTCTTGGCTGCAGGCAGTCTGAGAACATTTGAGATTTCCAAACTCGGTGACTTAGGGCAGAAGAGGAACTTGTCACAGTGTTTGGAGCTGATGGTGTTTGCATGTATTGTCACTGAATGCAAGAGATCTCCTTGTCAGGGGCAGGCTGAAACTGTGACATCTCTGATGGTTGCAGCTGAACAGTACATAGGAGCCTTGTGTTTATTTTGATGTAAAATCTCCTAGGCACAGATTGATTTGTATAGAGCAGCTGAGGACTTAGTAGATGGAAAGTGTGTTACCCTTCTCTTTCTGGTACTGAAAATAGTCTGGGTAAATTCAGATCCCGGAAAGCATGTATCTTTGCATTTCGAAGATACATCACGTTTTGAAAGAAGTACATGGAAGTTTGTCTTCTGATTTTCATTAGCCCTGCTGGGGATCTTGAGGCTAGAGCCAGAGCCAACAAAGGTAAGGAAAAGAATAGTCTTGACTGGAAAGACCTGGCATTAGTTTGTTTGGAATACTGACTGAGTTTGTCGTCTTTAAGAATAGAGTAAATATGTTCTTCATTTCAGTCCATGCAATCAGTGAGGTTGTTAGGGTGAGGTACACAAAATAACTGGGGGGAGCTTGAGGAACAGAAAATACCATAATTCCCTACCAAGCTATGAATGGAAAAGAGGTTGGCAGATGAGATCTAATAGGACAAAGATTCTTCTTGGCTGTTGGTGTTCTTATCTCAGATCACTAACTGTTAATGACATTAGAAAATGCTAATGGTGAATAAGAGAGGTGAAGACTTAGGTTAAAAAAAGAATATATTCAGAATTCAGTGAATCATAGAATCGTTAAGGTTGGAAAAGACCGCTAAGATCGTTTAGTCTATTCATCAACCCATCACTCTGTTTCCATGTGGAAAATCACTCTTGGAGAAGCTTTCTGCAATCTGGTTGCACTGTTCCTTTTTAGATTTGCTTTTTTTTTTTGTTGCCTATACCTGTAAATTACATCTATTGGACAGAGCATAATCTTGTACTGTGCTTTGTGCAGCAATGAATCAAGTGCTGAAAAGCATCTCTGGGCCAAGTGTCAGAAGTGAGTTACTAATTCATTTGTTTCTATATTGGTAGAAATGACAGGCAAGAGTAAAGTGTTTTTATTTGCTATTCTTAGGTAGCAGTAGCAGGCTGTATTGAATTAATCCAGAATTTGGAACAAATCCGAGCCCTAAAGCAACTTGGTAGCTGACAGACAGTGCAGAGAACATAAGGAAAAAAAGGGGTAGGCAAGAGAACAAATCAGATGCATCTCTATTTGTATAGACTTGTATGGAAATACATCCTGGTTGCTTTTGCACTTAACCTAATGGAAGCAGACAAAGACTTAGACTGCTAAGTACCTACTAGAAAATGTTTTTTGCAGATCCTGGTTGAGAGGAAATGGAGCTGCATGGTGTAATTGCCTTTTGATATCTTCATGGTTTGAAAAGATACAGTCACATTAAAAATAAGCAGTACTGGTATAATGGGATAATGTAAACAAGCCTTTTGTAGCCACTGAAATAGAAAAATCATCTGTGTAAATTGATTAGAAATGCAAGCATTATTGAAGATCTTCCCTCTCCTGGATGGGTCAGAAACATAGCATGTGGAAGACTTGTGGAGCAGACTACCAGCATGGGTAGGTACAGGGCATAAAGAGTGTAGTCGGTTTTTTTTTTTTTTTTTGCACCTTGCATTTTGAGCTAGGTTTCCAAAGGGAGCAAAAGGTGCCTGCTGTTTAAATAGGAGCAAGATGCCAACTTGTCTGGGAAGATGCAGCTATAATCCCTTCAAATGTCTGTCCTTGAGATGTATGCTGAGCACAGAGCAGCACAAGGCTGTGAAACGATCCTGCAAGTCAGACAGCTTCTTTAGCCCCCTCAGTCCTTAACCTGGTGTATGTTTTGGGGTAAATTCCTGTGCTGTTTTTTTTTTTCTTCTAGAAATCTCTTTCTCAAAAGATCTGGGATGGATATAGTGATGCTTAGGCTGGGATTTAGCTCCTCAGTTTTAACTGTCTAGAACCTTACTTTGTACATCTGAGTTAGTTGCCTAACCTTCCACTGAACTCCACTTGTTTAATCAGCGTGTTGATGGTGTCTTGAGAACAATTTACGTGACCAAATGAGGGTGTTTGTTGTAAAATGAATTCTCTGTTGGTTACAAAAATTACCTGCCCTTGCACGTAGGCAGGTTTGATCATAAAATCACAGAATGGTTTGGGTTGGAACGGTCCTTAAAGCCCACCCAGTGCCAATCCCTGCCATGGGCAGGGCTACCATCCAAGGATCAGGCTGCCTGGGGCTCCATCCAGCCTGGCTTTGAATGCTCCAGGGATGGGGCACCACAGCTTCTCTGCACAGCCTCTCCCAACGTTCACCTCCCCCTGAACAAATAATTTTTTCCTAAGCTCTAATCTAAATCTCCCCTCATTTAGTTTAAAACCATTCCCACTTGTCCTATTGCTGTCTGTCTGTGTAAAAAGTTAGTCCCCTTCCTACTTACAAGCTCGCCTCAAGTACTGGAGAGCTACTATGAGGTCTCCCTGGAGACTTCTCAAGATTGAACAACCCCAGCTTGATGGGCTTTTAAACTTCCTGGATAAGACAAGTTCATTGTTGGACATCAGCTTACCAGTGTTTTAGTCAATTTCAGTTTGTCTTTAAAATTCGGAGAAAATGTTTTGGATGTGGAAGTCTTCCCTGTCTGTTGGTACCTGGAGTTATGATGCTGTAGTTGGTGGCACAAGGCTACAGGAGGGCCAGTGAAAGGAGGGATGAGGGGCAGAGATCTTTGCATTTATAATTCTGTAGGAAATCATCCTTGTATATAAATGTGTCCAAAGGAAAAGTGCTGACAGAACGTTACCTGAAATTTGAGACAAATTGGAGCAAAAAGGAAGATCCTGTGTGAGAAATTGCTGTTTTCTAATTGCCAGCGCAATCTACACTCTTTAAAAGACTCTGCTTTTACAGTTTTTCCTGAGGTATGTTCAGTTCAAAAATTCTGGCAGGGAGAAGACATGTTTTGGCTCTTGATCATGAGATATTTGAAAAAGGAAAGGGAGAAGGAGGGAGAAGGCCTGCTCCCTCTTGCTTTAATTTGGCATGCAAAACTCTCTTTGATATTACACCGTGAAGTACCATCTGTTGGTGTAAAATGCGTGGGTACTTTCATGATGTGGAGAGAAGAGAAACTTCCTGCAGATAGAATCACTTGGAGAAAAAAGGGGGAAGAAAGCTATGAAATAAACAACAGGAATACTCACAACCATCTCTGTCCTAATCTCTCCATCCTTTCACCATGGAAGTTAAACGCAGCATTTATAGTCCTCCCTGTACTATCTTTATTCCTTGTGTTGTTGGTTCTGTCCTTCTGGTTTGCAGGTGTTGCACTCTTATCTCTTTTATTTCTATTTCTTCTAGAAGAGTCACCCATTTAATTTTTAGAGAAAGGAACAGATGTCCAGAGTAATTCTCTGGCTCAGATGATCAGGTTTGCTAAATTTCACTGATAAACGTTTCTTTTGCAGTTGCTATTGCAGAAATTTTCCTGAAATCCATCTTTGACTTCAGCACATGAAGATTTCTTGGCTGAGAGGGATAAAGCCACTTGTGCAGGCCTATTTGCTAAACGTATATATTTTGTACTGATCTTCCCTTCCCTGGCATCTGGATTGGAAACAGGGTAGATGAGGACAGAGGAATTGATTGATACCTGTGTAGGTTTTTTTTTTTTTCTTTTGAATAGCTGCATCTTGCTGTCTGGGCTACCTGGGAGGATGACTCCTGCCTGGTGTAGCCATCTAGTGATGAATCATAGAATATTCCAAGTTGGAAGGGACCTGTAAGGATCATGAAGTCCAACTCCTGGCTGCACACAAGGCCACTTAAAGTGTCTGGTGGATCTGGTAGTGTGCTGCAAGTTCATTCGTTCTGTGTGTTTTTATGTAAGAGTGTGCTTCCCCTCTTCCTAGTATGAATGGCAGCTAGGATGCTGAGAGGAGAGAGGTGTCAAGAGAAGTCTCAGTTGTCATCCTCACTCTTGTCTCTGGCTTTTTGTAAGTGATGTTCTCACATCTGTGATGGCCGTGGAAAGGTTTGTTGGTAGAAGCACTGTGTCTTAGATTAGAAGGAAGCTTATTCAGACAGTGTGACCAAAAGCTTGTTTGATTCAATGTAAGAATACTTCTTTTTCCCCAGAGGTGTTATTGGATCTAATAAGAGATGCTTTCCTCCCACACAGACTTTATCTGTCCTCTACTAAGACCTTTTTAAAAGTGAGGGTTTTCACTGGCTTGCCTTGCATAGAACCTCCAGGATATAAAGTGAGCTGCATGGTTTGCAGGTCTGTTTCTATCCACATGTCCTGGCAGACAGGTTCTATGTTCAGGGGCTGTTTGGCTTCTGTGAAGAAGCAGATGATCTTTTTGTTTCTTCTTGTCTGGGTGAAAGGTTTAAATACATCCTGACAGCAGGCAGCTCTGTGTGGTGATAGTGATGTGGAACAGCCTGCCAGGTACTTCAGAACCATGTCCGTGTCCTCAGCCTGGTGAACACATCTTGAGCTGTACTCCCTCAAGCAGAGCACTTGGGTAATGTAAGCAGCATGGTAGTGTGCCCACTGAAGAACTACACAGCAGGAGGAGAAGCTTGCCTCCCATTGCTGATTTCCCAGGAGGATGAAGTATACGACCTTTTTCTATTTCCAAAAAGGGTAACAAATGTGGGTGTAGATATCTGGCTTCACATTCTGTATTTTGTTTGAGGTGTTTACAATCTGTCATCCCCAAATCTGTCTTGCAGGATGAAGAATTTTTATGATGTTTAATATCAGATGTGTGAAGTCAACAAGAAGCAGAACACCTAACCTGGTACTGATAGTGCTGAAGTGATTGATCCCATGCTAATTTCATCCCAAGAATAGATGGCAAGGATTGGTGTTTAATTGAAAATCAACAAATTTCAGCTGCTCTATTATTTTGTAGCTTCCAGCATTTTTAAATTGCAGTTGCCTTGCTACTCTACAAAGGAACAAACCAGGTTCTGTGTGGTCTTTGGAGACTGCTTTTTAATTTACAACAATTCCGTGCTAAAACCAGTCTGACTGACATATTACACCAGGGAACATCTTTGCATCAACTTTGCTTTTTGAGACCTCAAGATGAGAGGCTGTAGCTTGTTTTTAGGATGCAGGGGACAGTCTGCCATCAATTTGATTTATTTCTTATTTTTTAACTTCAAATGTGGATGTCTTAGTCATATGTGAAGCTGCTGAAGGTGGTTGGAGTGTATTTTATGTGTAATCAGAAGAGCCTTTGGAAACTTCATTCTTTTAGTTCATAGATAGCAACGTTGTTGTAATAACAAGTGATGAATGCAGGGGAGCAGCTGTGGCCCCCAGTTGTGGCAGCAGGACCTTCCAGCTGATGCAGATGCAGTGCAGCTTTGGCCCACAGCAGTTTCACACTTGAATTTAGGTGTCAGAAAGGACTGTGCACAGTTTTTCTGAGCAGAGTGGCATACCATGCAAGCAAAAGCTGACTGTGCTCTTTTTCCCTGGTTAGTTCAGCCTGAGGGCTGGTACTTTAAAGAACTGAGAGATTTGTTGGTGATGTTATTCAATTTAAAGATACCTTCTTATTTATTTATTTATTACCTCTCTGTGTATCTGAGAGGACAGGTGATGGTGCTGGTGGTGGAATCCAGCTGGAGGAAATGTGCTTGAAGTATTTTCACAGCTGAAATACTGAAAAACTCACTACTTGAGGGAAAATAAATCTTGCCTTCCTTTTTTTTTCTGTGAATATTTTCAGGGTTGAAAGAAGGGAAGCCTGAAAACTGGCTGCTTTCTGCTTACTGTCAGACAATGGAGAGGTGTCACTGCTTCTATTCCTTTAAACAAATCAATTCTGTCTCTTGCTGGATTCTTTCTGCCACTGCATTAAAGACAACAGATTTTCTGATGCCTCAGGCAGCTCAAATCTGCAAAATGAAAGTATCCTGGGCAGAATTACTGTGAAAACATGACTGTGGGATGTCAGCAGGGCAGCTGATGGGACTGCTGTGCCTTAGGTATCTGCCTGCCCTGGTTAGGAGCTGATCATTAGTGTATTGCTCCCCACCTGCATTATAGGGGAAAAGTTCATGGTCCAAACCGTTTCTGATGTTGAAGTCATGATTTGAGGCTGGCCAGCTCTTTTAAGAGGAAAGGCAGCTTCCTAGCCTCCTGCAAAACAGGCTGCCTAGGGAGGTGGTGGAGTCACCGCCTCTATATGTGCTCAAGAAAAGGATAGATATGGCACTCAGTAGCATGGTTTATTGGTACGGTGGTGATGGGTTGGTGGTTGGACTAGATGATCTGAGTGGTCTTTCCAGCCTTCATGGGTTCTGTGACAAAGACTGTCTCATTGGATGGGTTACTTTCTGGTGGCTGGTGCTTCAGGTAGGGGGGACAGGCTGAACTGTGTGCAGTCCTCTTATCCCTCTGGTTAGTCTTCAGCCCTCTCCTAATTTGAGAAATTATGGATATACTATTAATAAAAATGGTAAGAAATGGATGCTTGGATCTTGCCCCTCAAAATACTTGCCCACTGTATTTTTCTTCTTATAGGTCATGGAGGCAGAACAAACCAAAACGAGAAGTGAGTTGGTTCACAAGGAGACGGCAGCCAAATACAATGCTGCCATGGGAAGGATGAAGCAGCTGGAGAAGAAGTTGAAAAGAGCCATCAATAAATCCAAGTAGGTCTCATACTTGGAGATGAGTTTAATGGTCAAGTCTCTTTGTAGGACAAAGGATTGTGTGGGATGTTGGATACTTGTGAAAAGATGTTGTCCTTGTAAAGTTGTACTAGAAAAGTTTCCTGGGCATACTCTTAGTTGTGTTTTCAGTGCATCGAAACCTTTCATGATGAGTGACTTGAGAACCAGGCATGTGGGATTTCACAGAGATGCTGCCTACAGAGCTGCAAAGCTCCGTATGTGTGGTGGTTTTGCAGCTTAGGATTTTTTTTTTGCCATTTAATTTTTATATTTAGTTAGGAAGACTCACAAAGCAAGTGACAGAAACCTCAGAAAGGTGTGAGACTGCATCAGGGCAGCATGCTGTACATCAGACTTGTTTAATTCCTAACACTGCTTTAGCAAAGCTGTGCAAGAGCTTTGGGGGAAGAAATGCTTCGGGGAACATGGCTGAGCAGCATCACTGATAAATGTGTGTGCATTTGATAAGCAGTTTTGCTCGGTTGCAGAGAAATAGAGCAGCTTTTTTTCAGAACCTATTTAAAATTTTGGCCCTGTTTACAACCAATTCTTAATCCTCTTTCTATTTCACAGCCTTTCCTTGTATTTCCAGACTGTAGCTTGTCTAAACAATCTGCTTGCTGTGTTTAGCTTTTAATCCCACCATCTAAAAATGATTTTATTGGGAAATTGGTCAACTAAAAGCCTGTTTTGATTGGCGCTTGCTCAGTTTGGGAAAGGTTTAGCACTTCTCAAGGAAGATGCAGGCATGTTTGCTAAAACAGTATAGCAGTGTGGCTTCATAGAATGAGCTGTGTGCTGTTTGTCTGGCACTGCTCAGGGTCTGAGCAAAAATGCTATCAGATTGCTAAATGATAGATTCATAGGATCGTGGAACCTTTAGAGTTAGAATGGGCCTCTGAAGGCCATCTAGTCTAACTCCCCTGCCGTGAACAGGGACACACCATAGCTAGATCAGGGTGCCCAGGGCCTGATCCAGCCTCACCTTGAAAGTCTCCAGGGACGGGGCATCAGCCACATCACTGGGCAACCTATGCCAGTGTCTCACCACCCTCACTGTGAAAGATTTTTTCCTTATATCGAATCTAAATCTTTGAGCTTGATTTCTGTAGGTGAGAGCAGTATCTGAGAAGGTGTTTAGCTATCAGGGGCCTACGTAAATTGGGAATTGAGGGCATTGAATTTGCTGCTGCTTGTGTTGTAACTAGCATGCAGCTGCTTTGCAGAAGGGAGCTGGTAACAGGGTGCTCTACCCCTTCCCTGGCTGCTGCTGGAAGTTGTCTGTAACTCTGAGGCATTGCAGGACCACGTTGTCCAGGCTCCTTCCCTCAGCCCCCTAGGTTGGCAGATGTGCTGGAAGTGTTGCTGCTTTCCATGCAAACAGTGACTTGTGTTTGCTGTGTGCTTCAGGCTGGATTAAGATGCTTAAAGCATTACTGTTCTAAAGTAAGACTGGGATGGCCCAAAGGAAAGTCATTTGGATGATTTGCCTTGTAATCATCCACTTGTCAGTCTTACAGGATTGTTTTGCTTTTAATTTTGTTTCTGGGTCCTTGCTTGCAAGCTAGTGATGGTACATATGGCTGCATGTTCTTAACATACGCCCGATCTCATGGCTCAGTGCCACCAAGCTGCAGGATAATGGGCTCGCCTGTGCTAGCAAGCTTTTGGAAGTCACTTTCTGCTCTGGTGACTTGAGCAGAGTGCCTTCCCTCTTCTGTCATTTGCTTAGAAAGCTTTGAGCAACTCTGCAATGCCATGTGTGGTAATTGCTGCTACAAAAGAGATCTTTCCCCCAGGCATATGGAAGCTGGTGGGAGGTCAGGCTCCAAGCCTGGTTTTCCCTCCCAGTTGGATTAAAAGGAGGAGCTGTGAAGTATCCTAACCACAGAGAAATGAGAATTGGTCACTTTGTGACTGCGAATAGAATTCAACCCATAAAACCATATAGGATAGGAGAGCTATAGATTCATACAGCTGTATTCTGGTGCATAGTCCAAAATGCAGCTGCAGAAGGACTTGAAGCAGAGGAAGCTGCTCTTGGCTTCTGGGTGCTAAGAGGATGCCTGTGCAGTAGGCTGAACATTGTTTCAATATCTTGTGGAATGTTGGTCTGAGGGAATTGTATCATCAACTCCAACAACTGGAATGTTGCAATTTGTATTTAGGTCAAAAGGCCCAGGAGAAATAAATGGGTTTGAGGAGGAAAAAAGAGAAGTGGAGAGCACCTGTAGATAGAGGTCTCTCAGGATTATGCTGAAACACAAAATAGCTCTGTTAATTCTATAAAGAGAGCAACTCCCACTCCAGTTCTCTGGTGGTTGTAAACAGTTGTTCTTTGTCTTTCCACAGACCTTATTTTGAACTCAAGGCAAAGTACTATGTCCAGCTAGAGGTAAGTGCGGAGTTCGCATCACCCTGAGACTCTTTAGTGCTTGTGATAAATATTGAAATTACGTGGAACATGCTATCAGAGCAACTATTGACTGTTTACAAAGCCAATTTTGTTCCAAACCTCTTATCATGAGCAATTTGCTAAGCACACTTTAAAGATAAAAGATGAAGAGGCCTTGTTCCCTCATGAGCAGTAAGTTCAAACCCATTTGAACCCTGCTCCTCGTTTTATGGACCAAACTAATAGTTTGTCTGTGCTTCTTATAGTCTGAAGTCTCTGGATATTTTTTCCCCCATGTTTTCTGCATCAGGCTGCTTTTAGTACTCAAACATCACTCAGATGTGAATTTAGATTTTGGGAGAATGGGGCTGTCATGCAGCTGGATATGCTGCCAGAGCTTTTTTTGGCATCTTTGTGCTGCAATGGTGTCTAGCTGTGCTTTGGTGTGATGGGGCACGGTGGCCCAGGTCTGGACACAGTAGTTGTGCGTGGAATGGTGATCCCAATGCAGCCATTGAGTCTTGGAGCTGCCAAAGGTGAGAACTCAAATGCAAAGATCAGTATGAGTTACCTCGTACAATTTCTATTTGAGACCGTTCTGCTGCACATGGCCTGTGCTCAATTACAATAGAGGAAGGAAATGGGGAGCTGGGTGCTCCTGAGGGTGTTGCTGGAGGGTGTGGGGTGTGGTGTTCTGTGCCATCAGCCATGGCTTCAGTGGGGTGACAGCTCAGCAGGGCCTGCCAGGGGGGCACACAATGAACTGCATGCTGTATGTCCGTGTTGTCTGTAGTGGAAGCACCTCTAATGTCTGTCTTTCTTGTTAGCAACTGAAGAAAACAGTGGATGACCTGCAGGCAAAACTCTCCCTGGCGAAGGGAGAGTATAAGACTGCCTTGAAAAATCTGGAGATGATCTCAGATGAGATTCATGAGAGGAGACGGTCCACTGCCATGGGGCCCCGAGGATGCGGTGTGGGTGCTGAAGGGAGCAACATTTCTGTGGAAGACCTGTCTACCAGCAAACCAGAGTTGGACGCTGTCTCAAGTGAGTGCAGAACATTTTTTTGCCTGAGAGTATCCCGTGGGCTGTGGACTAGAGAGGAAATACCGAGATGAAGATGATCTGTATGTTGTGCAGCTTGAAGTTCAGTGGCTGTTGTGGGACTGGTTAGCTTGTTTCTGGTTATTGTAGGAGTTTATTATATCTATCAATATATCCTCAAGGGAAGGGGATATGAGTTAAAATCATCAGCTGTTCCCTATTATTATTTGTTTAGTGCTGTATCGGGGAAGAAAAAGTGTTGCAATGTGGGGAGCTTGCACCCGAGGCCCTTTTCAGTCTTAGTTTCTGTCTGTTGGAGTTTGATAAAACACCATCAGCTGGGAGTGTTACATCCCCAGCACATGCTGCTGTGTGATATGGAACTCAGATGGCAATAAATAAGCTGTAGTTAAAGCTGTGCTTGCTGTAGCTTTACTGGTGTCAGTGCTGCTTGCCAAGGAGAGGAATCCTTTAATGGGAATCATCACCCCAGCCCTACTTGCTTTTACCCTCTGTAGTTACCTGTTTAGGTTCCTATGTATTGACAAAACACAGCAGGTCAAAAGAAAGGCCACTTTGCAGTTTCAGATTTGACCTCAAAAAGCAAACCAGCAAAATCTAAACCACCACGCTGTCTGGGCATGAAGTGCCCTGGAGGGGATTTTAAAAATTAGGTAATGGTTATCAATTTTGAGCTTTTGAATTTTTTTTCTAACTGAATGAATACAGACCCATGATCTGAAAATGCAGCAGAAGGAGGCTGAACATATCTGAAATAACCATGCTGACAGCTGCCTCCATTTGCACTCTTTGTGTCCGAGTGGTGCATTGGAGCCCCTGACTGCTGGGCTGGCAACAGAACCACTTTGAAGCCTTTCCTTTGAGTCATTTTGTTAATGCTGCTGCTTTGCCCCTGCTGCTCTTTCATGTCGATTCTGAACCGTTCTGACAGCAGCAGGAATGGTGAGGAGGCAGAACTGCGAATGACCTCAGGTCTTTGTAAATGTTTTGCTGTTTAGGGGCTTCTTCAGACTGTTGTGATGCTGGCACACAGGAAACCTTCTGAGCCCAGTGGGACCTGAGTGCAGAAGGTATTTAGGACACAGGTCCCATCCTGTAAACATTTTTAGCCAGATGTACTCTCTAAATTCAGTACAAAATTGAACTTCCATTAATGAAAAGCTGTTGGCAACAGCTTAATCTGGAGTTGGTTTGCTGAATTAGATTTCAGGCAGGAGCAACCATGAGCAGGGAGAGCAATATGTGCGAGTGGAGCTTTTTAAAATGACAGTGATCCATGCAGAGAGAAGTCTTGGGAGTTCTGCTGGATTGAAACTGCATTAATGGGGAGAGAATGCAGAGACAGTCTGCCCCTAAAACTGTCTGCTGTCTAATTAATATCTTAAATATTCACAAGTCTGTGTTGGTGTCAGGATGCTGCTGGCCAAGACAGGTGCAGCGGAGCAAGCTCTGCCCTAAGCTATGTGCAGAAGACCCAGAGCAAACAAGGTCAGTGGGGAATGGTAAAAATCCCATAAGGACCAGGGCATTGCTGGCAGGTGTGCTGCTTTTCAGAGCTTTTCTCTGGAAACGGGGCTGATCCATGCGTGAAATGCTGGGTAAAGCTTTGCAGAGGGGGCAGATGATGAGAAACCACAGCCTGGGTTAGCAGTGTGTGTATGGACAAGAGGTGCAAAACTGAGAAACTACACTTGCCCAGAAAGGTGCCAATGGGGTAGGTTTGCTAATGGGAATGTATCTTTAAACATTGTAGTGGCTTCTGAAGTATTTGAGGATGACAACGGCAGCAGCTTTGTGTCAGAGGAAGACTCGGAAACACAGTCAGTGTCCAGCTTCAGCTCTGGGCCTACAAGCCCTAGCGAGGTGCCCACTCCATTTCCCCCTGCGACACGCCCTGGCACCCTGGATCTGCCCAGCCCTGTGTCCCTCTCTGAGTTTGGAGCGATCTTCCCCGTCCTTGGCCCCCGAAGTGAATGCAGTGGGGCTTCATCTCCTGAATGTGAAGCTGAAAGAGGTATGCACAGCTGGATACACCCTGGGCCAATGCTGTTAAGTTTTATAAAAGGGAGCAGGAAAACCCTCTTAGCTCCTCTAGGCATGTCACAGGCTCGCTGAGCTGCTGCTGCTTCCTTGGGGAAGGTAGCCTGTGAAGGGCCCACAGCTACCTATGACATCTTAAGTGCTTTCACTGCTCTGCTGGCTGTGCAGGTTGCCTGGTTTGGTGTTAGTGCAGCAGTGGGGTTCGAGGTTCCTCAGCAATTGGTGGGATTCTGATATTACAGTTAATTTAAGGAAAATCTGAGTTTATTTTTTAGTTGCTGTCCTGCTTTCCAGAAAAAAAATAATGTGCCAAAAGAAACCTGCCAGCCCTTGCTGACAAATTCAGACAGGAGAATTACCACTGTTCTTGTGTACTGCAGCCTAAATCTATTATGCTGTAAGATACTGATGTAGCACATGAGATGAGAACAGCTGGGAAGGCCAACTTTGCTTTAGTTAAAGCATCTTGCTCCTGCTTGTGTATTTTGTGTGCTTTGACAGAGGAAGTTTCAGAGGGATTTGCTTGAACCATAAGCTACATACTGATATCTGGGTTTAACATCGAGTTTTATCTTTTCTTTGCAGGGGATAGAGCAGAAGGGGCTGAGAACAAGGCAAGTGACAGAGTGAACAAGAACAGGAGCAGCAACAGGATTGGCTCCAGCGAGGGGCTGGCTTTGGATAACCGGATGAAGCAGCTCTCCCTTCAGTGCATGAAAATCAAAGAGGGAATATGTGCGGGCAGAAAGGCTGCCCAGATTGGCTGAGTCCTCCTCATGCCCGTCCTGATTAATGGGAATATAAATATTTATACATGAACTTCTAAGTGTTTGAAGAACATTGTGCCAATAATATATGCCAAATCTTATGCGTTTACTCTAAGAATTTAAAACTGCACTAAGAAGTCTAATTGATGTCGAGGGCTGAAGTTTTTATTCAGTAAATCCTTTGTAGGTCAGACAAGTTATCAGCTGGTAAGCTGTGCTCCCATGTCACAGACTTTGTAAATCGTTTTGTAGCAGCCTGGCTGAAGCAATAACCAGTAATGTTCCTGTGCAAATTCATGGCAGTGGGGGGTCTGAAATTCAAGCCAGACATTTGCAGAGTGCAGTTTGGCTTTGGTTTTGTAGAATGAAATACTCTTTAGATACATTGGATCTCTTGAGTATAAGTGGCATATTCTTTAAACATCTGTATTTGTCTGTGTTACGCTGAAACTGTAGAAATATTTTGTATTTTGAAAGCTGCGTGTGGGGGTCTAAAAGCCTTCACTCTTCCCTTGGTGCTCACAGAAAGGATGAAGATGAGTCGTGCCTCTAAGAACCACCTGAGACAGACAGGAGTGGGATGTTCAGCAGCCATGGGCCCTTTTTTGCCCCCTTCCTGAGTCTGGCTGGAACTCTAAGGGTGATTCCAGTGACCAAAAAGAGTTGATTGGCCCTTGCCCTCCCCTTCCCCTAAGAAGTGAAGTATTATTTTCAGCACTTTAAAGTGTTATTGCTCAAAAATGGGAGGATAGATGTTTTCAGGACAGTTACAATTAGGGGATCACCCTTAAAATATGCATGAAGAAAAGGAACTGCCAGTGTAGATTGACAGTGTGTTCTTAAATTTCTCCGTAGGTTGTACTGTGTGGGATTTCATAACTGTAAAAGGGATTGAGGTTTAGGATGCCCTAGAGAAATGTTCAATAAAACTAGAAAGGGCACGGGCATGTTTGCTGGCCGCTGTTAGGCAGTAGTAGTGTTTGGTCATTATAAGTGGTAGTAAAAAAAAATCCTAGGACTCTTCAGTTTTGGTGGCTAAGCATTTCTGAAAGCACCATTTTATCTAAAATGTCAGTTTATATTGTTAATTTCATGGGAATTTTAGTATTGCCCGAAGTATTTTCTATTATATGTTTTTGCAGTCCTGTTGTATTTTGTCCTTGCCACAGCTTGTGTATCTATTCTCAAAGCTAATGTACAATTCTTCACACTACAGTAAACCTTTTTGTTTTCCACATTCTGAGTCTGTTCGAGCTCAGTGTGTCTCAAGTACTGAGAACCAGAGGCAAGGTGAGGCTTTAAATATCCATTTTCAGGTGAAGACCACAACCTGGAGTCTCTCGCCTTGGTATTTAGAAACCTTTGCAGTGTGTACAACTGCAGTCTCCTGCCAGCTTTCTGATTCCTCGTGTCTGTGATTAACTTCTTACTCTGCACTACGTGAGAATGGAGATGTAGTTAAGTCTTCTGAAGTCTCTTGGTATGCAAAGGAAGGAGGAAAGTACTCAGCGTTATACAACAAACACCTCTGTACTTAATGCTGCTGAAATTTGCTTTAAGGTCATGTGCAACTGGAGGTCAAGAAAACTGTTTCCATAAAAATTACTTTCAACACAGTGCAGCTGTTCACCTGTAGTGTTGAATATGTCCATTTACATGTTCTGAAGGCTGAGCTTTTCTATTTGCAGAATTTTCCTGCCCATCCGTGCTTTGGAAAAAAGAGGTCTGTGCTTCCAGCTTCTTCTGCAGCCATTACTAAGGGAAAAGCTGGTACTGTCAGTATTAAATATGAGAAGTGGTGCCACTGTCACATTATATTAAGTGTTTTACTTATGTTTTTGTAATTGAGCTACTCTCTGTTGCGTTAGTGAAAGCAACAGAGGAGCTTCAGACTGAGTATCTATTTTTGCCAGTCAGTATCTATTGCTCTTTTCTGGTTTTTGTTGTTGTTTTTTAAGCCTTTTGCTATCAGCTTTCCTCTCAAAGTGCTGGTTCTGACCAGAGACTTGTGCAGCTGTGTAATGAATAATGTTATGTTCAGCAGGATCAAAGAAAGTTGCATGTGCTGCCTTGTGCATGCTGGAATTGTTGGATTCAGCTCCCAGCAGCTTGCAGCCATTGCTCTGAAGGCATGGGAGGGTGCAGAACCAGCGTGCCCATACAGCTACAGCTCAGCTCCAGGGTCAGTGTGAGGATCTCACTGGAGAATTCTTCCTTTGGTGATACCAATGCTTGGCAGGTAAATCACACTTCATATGTACAAGCAAACAGGCACGAACATGTCTATTAAATTAATGGAAAACTCATTTTATTTTAAACTCTGTAAAAGCTGTAATTATAAATATGACAAACTTAAATGAACAGACATCACTAGGGAGTAGAGGCAAATCAACGAGCTTTTTCCAGTTACTTTTCTATTGGAATCTTTATGTATCCTGATATGTAACCTGACAGTAGCTGCCTTCATGGGTATAAAAATAAGCCTCTGGTGTATCAAAGTATTTGTGAGCAGTAAGAATGTATAAAGCAAGTTAATGTAGGAATTCTTCTACTCTTTGGCATTATCACACAATTTAATATGTCCTTGTTTGACTAAGTGATGAAAACCTCTAAGGTTCTGTACATAGATTTAATTCTAAGCAGCTGGTTGTTCCAACACCTTATAGTTTGCATGGTCAACTGTGTAATTACTGTACAAAACAGTTCAGTGAAACTTGAATCAGGAAAGTAGGACTGTAACTCAGACTCATGAGGCAGATGCAATAGGAACTATTGTTACCATTAATCCATGTACTGAATTACAGAAAGCCTTGGAGAACTGATGGGTCTGATTCTGAAGGACTCATCCCATGTATTCCCAACACAACAATCAGAGATGCCTGTGCTGGAAGGGGGGTGGCTCACCCTGAGGTATCAACAGCAGCACATAGGGTCTTCTGTGGAGCTCTAAGGTAAGATTAAAACAAGCCAAAATACTGAAAAGCCTTCCCAGTGTATAAGCATGGAGAACGTTAAAACTTCTGAAGAGGGTTCTCCAGTTGTCCCTTAGCACCAGTGACAGAGAATTTAAAATAATCTACTTGCTGTAATCATCCCTCAGTGAATCAAAGAAAGTGCAAATCCTCTTAGAGCTCCTCACAACAACCAGCTTTCATTGGTATTTGGCTGCCTTGTTTTGCAACTTGGACAGTTTTCAGTTGTCACATATTGTACACTCATAGAGTGAAGTATGCTTGTTGGTGAATTTAATGAGGTTTTGAATTTTCACGTTTAAAAAGTAGAGAAGAGTTGAGGGTCATAAATGTCAAGCTGAAAGTGATGTGGGCAATGTACCCTTGCCCACCTACCCACAGCATAAGCTGTGGCTGTGCAGCTCTTTCAGTTCCCCTCCCTACAGCCCCAGCCCATGCTCTTTTCTGGAAGTCTTGCTGTACAACCTTTCCAAGCTAAACTCAGTATCTAATATTCTGTCGTTAGAGATTAAAAAAAAAAATGCTATGGTGTAATCATAGCAATGAGCTGAGGGAAAGAATAACTTAAGTCTTCAACTGAGGCTGTGCTGTAATTGAAGGAGCAGTTCATTCTCCACTCATTTTTCCAGATTTGTGGAAAAAAATAATAGAATTATGTATTTAACAGAAGAGATCAAAGGAAAACAGAAGTACTTATGTGAACAATTTCTCTAATAAAAAAAAAAAGGGACAAGAAAATACCGTAAGAGGAATTTGTTACAAACAGAAATGGCAGAGACTATGGAGTATTACAAGAATATTTTCTATTTTCTTTAAAACACTACACCTGAGCATTTTGTAAGCAGTGATATTCCACTAACCATGTTGGTGCAGTGTTTGAATAAGATTTGCATTAAAAGGACAGCAATACCAAACTTCAGTCCTGTCCCCTTAGAGGCATAAGCCCCATCCACTGATTGTATTGTGTGTAAGAAGCGTTGCTGTTTGATAGATACAGCTTTCCTTGCTTTTGTTTCAGTACAGTATGGAAACTGAGCCTTATATGCTTGTTTCTTCCAGTATAAGCTTTGCTCCAAGCATGTGCTTGGAGGAGGAAGAAATAAATGGGTAAAACCCTTTCTACAGAACAGAACCCTAGTACAGAAAAGAACTTGCTTTTACTGTGGTCTATCAGCTTGATCTCAACAGTGGGGGAGAGGCAACAGCTTAATTCGGAAGGTTGGCAGTGCGGCCTCTGCCTTCTGTAATTTTGAAAGTTTAGATGTCATAAGTGATAAAATACATGCAGGACCGCAGCTCTGGTTTAACCTGAGCTAAACAAATAGCACATGTTTATAGGGAACATGTAAGCAAATGAAGCTTAAATTTTGTAGGGAGGAACAGTCCTTGGCACAACTGACTGCATCCAGAAGCCCAGGATAGCCACAAAGAACCTAAATTGTTTCTGCTCAGCTTATGCCCGTGCTGTTCCCTATGTTGATATGCTGCAAAAAAAGGTAAGTCACAAGTGACAAGCTCAGCACAAGGCCCAGATAGTCTCTCACAGAACTGCAGTCCAAAAAGGCATGTGAACTCACTGTCCTTTGAAAGCCAGACATTTGTTAAGCAGCTGCCTCATGATAGAGATGAAGTAAAAAGGAGCTCAGACCGTCTGGGGAGGGCAAAGAGACTTCTGGGGGAGTAACTTTACCCCCAGGTATTTCTAGTTCTCCTGTAGCACATGCTCAGTTTCCTAACAAGTGGCACCTGTCTTCTGAAAATACCACCTTTTTGCTTGAAAACTTGCCAAAGTGGAAGGGCAAAGAGCTTCCTGTGGTAGCTTTAAAAGCACCCTTTTCCCCAACTGTCACATGCAGTTCTGTCTGTCATTCAAGGAAAAAACAATGCACATAATTAAGATCAATTAGTATTTGAATTAAGAAGGAAAATTCAGTTGCCTTTAATCTTTTTTGGATATTGTGTGTGTGTATAGCTGATAGGACAAAGGAAGAATGCAGGCAGTAGCCTTCTAAATTTTTTTTTTCCCTAGAGTAATTCCAATTCCACTGCTTTCTTAAGAATTTTAACCCTGTTTCTACTGCTACCACTGGCCAACTGTACATTGTTTTAAATCAGTTTCAATTTAGAAGCAAAAGGTACCTTCCAGAAGAGAGATCTTCTATAACAGGAGCAGCAAGCCCCCAGCTAGCAGCTGTAGTTCGGGAAGGGAGGAGGCTTAAATGATCCTTCTCCTATGAGCCACATACTTGTAAAAGTAACAAGGATAAAACATTTCCTTGCTAGAGTGCTGATGGTGGGCAATTCACTCTCCAGCAGCACCAACAAACGAGGCTACTTCAGTAGGTGCAGAGAATCACACAGCACGCATTTGGATGAAAACCTTTCCCCCTGTCATGTGAAGGGCGTGCTCTGCTCACTGCAGTTGGTTACCTTCCCCCTCTCAGTGCTGATCCCCAGCAGGCAGGGTCTGGCAGCTTGCAGTAAGAAAGCCATATCTACCTTGTGCTATGTACTAGAGTAATACAAAATAACAGGTAATAAGGGTGAATCCTTTGCTTTTTTAGAAGTAGCTAAAGCTGGAGTCTTCCTTATCTTTTACTCCTCTGTACATACTTGAGATAAGCTGAACATGATAGTGGCAGTATGGAATATGTGCTCAGCAGTAGTGAACTCACATTTAAATGCGAGAGGTGCTTCAATGCTGTAAACATTCAAGGCAGCGATATAAATGGCATTTACTACATATCTGGGCCTGAGAATGAATAAGCAGAATACACAAGAATATTTTTCTTACATTTTTACATTTCAGAATAAAATCTTCAACCCATAGACCCTGTACTTCAGGAGAAGAGAATTTCAGTGTTAGTTTTTCTCTGAGCTCACTAGATTTTGATTTGAATTGTAGAAAAACCTGCAACAAATTATGTTCTTACATTCTTCCAGGTTGTCTAGATGTAACACTTTAGCTTGTTCACAAGCTTGCTGAACAGTGCTTACACCAATAGCATAGCAGCAAAAACCACATCTAATTTTCTGTCACAATCAATTGCCAAATTGGTGACTCTGTTCTTGGCTATAACTTAGGATGCAGTTTTATTTTATGCATATCTGCAATAAGTCATTCATCTTTCTGAGACTGCAGGGCAGTTCAAAAATAGTCCTTGAGCAGCTATGTGTGGGTCTGTCTCCTCACTGAAGCTGTGATACCCTAAGAGGAGAAGTGCTATTAAAATCTAGGAAAAAAGGACCCTCTTGTTGAGGCAGA